CTGGCGCACTTCAGTGGTTCACCAACAGTGAAACCTGCGCTGTCTCAGGCTCGGTGTGTCTTCCTCAGCGGTGCACATTACAGAAAGTTGGAAGCAACGAAACGTGGTGAGTATCACGAACCAATCTTTTCCATTCTATGCTACTTTCAGAGCTAATGATCATCCTCAAAGTGCGAGTATTGCGGCATCCATCGGCGGTGACACTACTATCATCCAGTTTAAGAAGTGGAATACGTACATCCTTGGACTTTGTGATAGTCTTACAGAAGGCCAGTGGGTATGCATAAGGTAAGGAGGGTTTCGATCTACTTTATAACAATTGCGAAATGGACTGACCAATATTCCCGGATAGTTCCCCTGGAGTCAACGCTACATACACGTTGCCTGCGCCACCCTTAGGCACAGAGGCCAATGCCGGAAATCAACAACGAGGAGGCGCTGGTGGCATCGTATCGGCCACGACGACCGCGACAGACATTGTCAACCCTGTGTCAGGAGGAACAGCCCCTAGCCCAACCCAAGACGGGCTTGTCACCAACGTAAGACGAACCATTGATGATATTCAACATGAAGATGCGAGACTAACTCTTAGATTTCCAGTGCAATAATTACGCAAGTGCTACTGCTGGAGACGGATGCGAGGCGTTTGCCACGCGCAACTCGATTGCGCCAACACAGCTCTATGCATGGAACCCAGTCCTCGGAACTGCTGGTTCCGAATGCTCAACCGCTCTGTGGGCTAGTGAGTATTACTGCATCGGCACGTGGAAGCCGACCCAGACTTCTGCCGTAACTGCGCCAGGTCCAACCCAGACTGGAATCACGTCTAGCTGCAACAAGTACGCAGAGGCTATCTCCGGTGACGTCTGTACCGTCTTTGCCTCTCGAAACAACATTACCACCGCTCAGCTGTACGCTTGGAATAGCGTGCTGGGAGCCAACGGAGAGAACTGCGCTGGCTCCATGTGGGCGAACGAGTACTACTGTGTTGGTGTCTCTGGATCATCATCCGTAGCGACCACGACACAGGCGACGACTGCCACGGCTGCAGTCTCGACGACTGCTTCTCAAGTCACAGCTCCTGGCCCGACTCAGACCGGCATCGTCTCGAGCTGTTCCAAATTTGCCAAGGCTCCCTCCGGAGTAGTCTGCGGCGACTTTGCGAGCAGCAATAGTATTTCAACCGATCAGTTGTATGCATGGAATACAGTTCTCGGTTCCAATGGAGAGAACTGTGCGTCTTCAATGTGGGCCAACGAGTACTACTGCGTCGGCATCACTGTGGCCGCCCCAGGCCCGACGCAAGATGGCATCAACTCTAACTGCGCTCGATATGCCGAAGCACCTTCGGGAGCGACCTGCACCACGTTCTCAAGCGCTAATGGAGTTACTTTGGCTCAATTGTATGCTTGGAATCCGGTCTTGGGAACAAATGGGGAGAATTGCGCCACGAAGATGTGGGCGCAGGAGTATTACTGCATCAGTGTTACTAAGTAGAACGCCATTCGACCTGTTCACCGAAGGCACCTTAATACGCAAGACCAGATGTCTTCAGTCAACGCTGAGATTAAGGTTCCACTTGAATGCTGGACCTAAAACTTTATCAAAGCTGATGTGATATTGCTGAAAGGGCAGGAAGCTCAAGCAGCTGTAGCTCGTGGTAATACTGCAGTACATCAACATCTGTGCTAATTCTCTGGAAGTAATGAAACTAGTCTTGCAGAAAGATAAGGTGAGCAGAGGACATTAAAGTATCATCCATGACCTGCATGATAATTCACAAATACGATATCTTCTTTTCTTTTCTTTCCTTTTCTTTGTCTTATCTATCAGAACTTCACATTCTTTGAATCTCCCACAATCTTCGAGCTACAGGGCTCTTCATCTTATGTCCCCATGTCTTCATAGTCTCTCTGATTCCCAAATAGACATTCTACCTTGATCCATAAATTAGACAACAAAGGAGTAATCTACACAAAGATCAATGATTAATACCAGTTCTTGTCTAATTTGAGACTTCTATGTTTGAGAAGCCAGAGGCTGCCAAGCTTTAAGTCAATTGCTAAGAGCACTTGGAGGTGGTACACACACCCCACAAATGTGACTTCGACATGGTGAAAGTAGATAAAGCCTCACTTTTCATGTCATGCAAGTTCAGAAAAATCATTGGTCCACATGTCGTCGCATTCTTGGCTTGCATTTACTGTTAGTAGGTGGCGACAGGCTTTAAGCGCCGACACGTACGTTCCAACGAAAGAGGTGCATTCTCGGGCTGGTGAAAGGCCAGACATCCTGCCTACATCAGGCATCAATGGCGCAGCAGGTCGCATGTTCTCAGCCAGAATAACGGGCACGGGAAGATCAATAGGTAGAGTTTTGCAGCAAAGCCCCCAATCCTAAGTCGGATTGAATTTTAAAGAAGGTGTGGCCTGACAATTTTCTTTTGGAACGCCGCACGTTGAGACGGAAGCTGCAGGAGGCCAACCATCTGCTGCAAGTTGCAGCAATCTGTGTCTCAGTACGCTATGAGACTACAAAACTACAATAACGCCTCGAGTTTGCGTCTTGGAATCTTTCCCATCTGCCTATCCTGATACCCAACGCTCAACCTCTGCTACTCTACAATCATCGCTATTCTCTCACGAAAGAGAAAAAACATGTCGGAACAGCAAGACGTCTACCGCATGTGCAGAGCACTATTCAAGGGGAAATCCAAAAAGCTGAAGAAGACGAGGATTCGCGAAATTCTCATTGAAAACCAGAGCGCTTTGCATCGCCTTTTCACAAGCTATGGCGAGGTGAGGCTTACCGCAATAATCCAGTCTCTCCTCAAATCTGGGGCTTTCGAATCGGACAGCCATGCCAAAGCTCTGTTCCCCGACATATTTCAGACTACCCCGCAACAGGATGCGCATAGGGAAGCATCTGAAGCCGACGCAGCAAAGTCTGTTGCTGACATCTTGGGTGGTATGAACCATCTCGAAGACATGGAGTCACCCGAGACAGTGGCGACAACGGCACCAACGTCGTCAGCGTGGGGCTACGAGGTTCCGCCTATGCCGGTTCCGGATGATGAATCCCCAATGCAAGATGCTGCCGCTTCAGAGACACATCTTGAGACGAACGGCATTGACGAAAGTATGTTGTAGCTCGTAGCGTATTATATGCAAACACTGACGTTCAAATCGCTACAGCGCCATCTCAGGTACATGCCAAGATCCCTTCCCTCTATCCAACATATCTTCCATTCACCACTCAACATTCCATTCTTACGGCTTCGCAGAGGCTGCTTGAAGAGTGTTGCTTCGATTTCGCAAAGAATCGATTCCCCGACGTGCTCCAACGCAAAGGCTGGGAATGTGCGTCTGCGGTCGAGTTGACGAATTGGACCAAAGTCTTCAATGCGGAGGTCCTCACGCTTCCTCCACAGCTCATCACCGTGACAGATAAAACCATAAATGAGGTCTTTGCGCCGACCCATAAGTTGCGACACACAGCCGTTCATAGATTGCCAACGACAGCCCGCGAAGTTATCCGACTGATCCGAGCAGGAGTAGAACTGACGGAGACTCTGCAAGACTTCACACGGGCATCTCAGCTAGAGGATCTGATTCTTGAGGTCGACGAGAAGATCAAAACGATGGAGCTCACGAAAAACGTTTTGGAGGATCGTGCTGCCGCTCAGCTCGAGGATATCCGCCGGCAGCGAGAAGACCTTGATAGACAAGAACGCGAGTTTATCGAGAACATGATCAAGGAGGACCAGGAACACAAAGCTCTCATTGGCAGCCTTCTTGAGACTGCTGTTGCTGAGATTCTGGAAAAGAAGAACGCCAAAAACCAGGTCTCCGATGAGGACGAGACTGATGGCCAGGATGTCTACCTCGAAGCTGGCGAGGGCACAAACAGGGATTCCGAAAGTTTGGAAAACAAGGATGACTCCAAAGATAGCAATGGGCTGTGGCGGAAACTGACAGATGCTTGGTCCGGAATGACTTTTGGTCCGAACAAAAAGTTTCTCTTTGGGGGTTTCTAGGGGTACGAAGAGTCGAATTAAGACCACTTTGAGGCTTCTACTCGGGCTTGTTGGCAGTATGTTTTGCCGAGAAAATAATGATTGATCATCAAGCCAGAGACTGCAATCTTCAGCATGGGCGGAGAAGGATGTACGTGTGTATTTAGTTTATTATGTTTTCTCTTGCTACATGTATTGAGGATATCGAGGTTGTGATTATCAGCTGAACTATTCCACCGCGGCCATCAAGTCTTTGGGTCCGGCTAGTTCTCAGATAGAAGTGACGGGTAGCGACGCAAGGCCTCCGAGGATGTCGTTCGCGCCTTACGGTGGGTGAGTGCTTTTGGACCTCGCGCTCACCGAGACCGCCGGCTGGCCGGAGGAAGAGTCTCGGAGGACCGACCCCGCACTAGGCCAAATCAAGAGTGATGCGGGGCTGTCAGGAACCAATCAAAAGAGTCAATCTCAAGATCCAAAGGTCAATGCCCGTGCTTCCTCAGATCGACCTTTGGGACCCCTCATTGATGCTGTGTTCCCCGTTTGCGGAATGCAAAAGATAAAGATAAAACCAAGACCGATAGCCAGATGGAACCAAAGATTCTCTGATACTGCAATTCTACGGTACAAAAGATACCCGGATGCCACAGCCGGCCGTACATAAGCGGATGTCACGTGTGACGGACAGCAAGTAGCGGCCCCGCCGTCGCCACCTTCCCGACCCCCCCGGCTTTTCAAATTTTCGTTCGGTCCAGAAGGAAGGAAAAAAAACAGAATGGCGAAGGGCGTGGGGCAATCACGCAAAAGGCGCTTGCCATGCCGCTTTGTTAGCCGGCTCCTACTGCCTTACCTTAGTCGAGTGGTCCCTTCATCTAGCCGCCGCTCATTGTCACTGCCTTAACCTTTTTCTTTGACTGAACATACTTGCCGCGTTTCTGTTCCTAATACAATTCTGTCATTGGAATCCCCGGCCGACGACATGCCAAACATGAACGAGGAGCAGCCTCTGCTGGTTGAGGACCCCATCTGCGAGGAAGACATCTCGAAGCACTTGCTCGACTTTGATCCCAACGGCGACCCTGAGAACCCCAGGGAATGGCCCGCACCTTTCAAGTGGACTCTGGTCGCATTGCTGGCTCTCACCGCGTTCACCGTGTACGACAACCATCAAACCTGATGTGTATTGCATCAAACATCTCGCGACCACATTTGAGCTGACATATGGCACAGCACTTTCACCTGTATCTCAGTCGTCCCTGTAGCCGCCCGCATCATCCAAGACCTGGACCAAAATGAAGGCACAAACTCACCGGCGAGCGCTCTGCTCGTCACAATCTGGGAGCTCGGTGAAGCCGCCGGCCCTCTCCTCATCGCGCCCCTTTCCGAGATCTACGGACGCTACCCCGTCATGAACGCCGCCAACATCCTCTTCATCATCGCCACCGTCCTCGCCGCTATCAGCACGAGCACCCCGCTCCTCATCGGCGCCCGTTGCCTCACCGGTCTCGCGGTCGCTTCTAATGTGTTGAACCCGGCCATCATTGGCGACATGTTCGTTCCGGACAACCGCGGCTCGGCGATGAGCATAGTATCTCTCGCCCCGCTCATCGGCGGTGCGGTCGGCCCCATGATTAGCGGCGCGATTGCGCAGACCCTCGGCTGGAGACAGGTTCTCTGGATGAGCGCTGGTTTGGCGACCGTGTGTGAGATCTTGTTCCTCACTTGCTTCCGAGAGACGTATAAGATGACCATTTTGAGACGACGTGCCGCGAAGCATGCGGACGAGCACGGGGCACCGCTTCACCCTGCCGGAGTTGATGACCACAAGAGCCTTATCAAGCTATGGGAGTCGATCAAGCGGCCTTTCTATGTCTTGCTCAGGTCAAATGTTCTGATGGGACTGTCGTTCTTTGGGTGCATAACTTTCGCCTACTTTTACGTCATGTCCATCAGCTTGCCTGTCATTCTCCAAGATGTGTATGGTTTCTCGCCTGCCCTCACTGGTCTCTCATTCATGTCCTTCAGTAAGTCCTACTATGAGCTTTTGCACGATGCGTTTGTGTTCTAACGGTCACAGGTATCGGTTCATTCATCAGCGTCATCGTCAGCAACTTCAGCCTGGATAGGATCTACGTGAAGCTTCGCGGCAACGACCCCGTCGGACGTCCCGAGTACCGCCTCCCGCTCGTCATCATCGGCGCATTCACACTGCCCCTCTCCATCACCGCCTACGGCTGGATTGCGGAACTTCACCTTCCTGTCGGCCTTCTTCTCCTGTCGGTCGCGATGCTCGGCTTCACTCTTCTCATGGCCTCCCTTCCTCTCTCCGCCTACGTTGTCGACGCCACAGGCCTGTACTCTGCTTCCGCCATGACTGGTGTCATCGTGACGAGATGCCTAGCTGGAACTTTCCTACCCCTTGCGAGCGGACCTATGGTGCAGTCTTTCGGTTATGGTTGGGGTTTCACTATGCTGGGAGCTTTCAGCATCTGCCTGGCGCCCATCCCGGTGGTTATCATGAGATACGGTCATGTTTGGCGCCAAAAGTCCGAATACACGAGAGATGCCTGAAGACGTCATGAGTTACGATACAACTATCATTAAAGCATATTGCCGGGAAGAAAAAGTGATTTACAACGCGTTATTGCTATATACAGTTTGGGAGGGGGTTTCTACTTAACTTAGATTCGGCGTTATCGAGAGGCATATTTTAACAGCTTTGTGAATAGAATGAATTAATAGTCAATCATCATACAGAAGCATTGTCAGGCTTGTTTTTGTTCCCACTCTTGGAAGGCCTCAATGGCTTCTGCTACCGAGTCCCGCCCCATCAACTCCATCCGATAATCCTCATCCATTAACCGCCACCCCGTCGGCGACAACCCGTCTGTCAGCGGTGCACCCGTCATCTCCGCATCGCGAGCCTCCTGCTCCGGCCCATCACGAACATGATACCATTTCCGATTCGAAGTCGCGCCCTGCACGTTCAGCGTCGTCCGGTCTTTCCGAAGCGTCTCATACAGCTTCAAGATCTCGGGAATCTGTGGTACCATGTTTTCTATCCCCAAGGAGCTCTTCAAGAGGCCCAGAAGCCTCCCAATCACGGCGCCGTCTTCGACAGCCATGGCTGCGCCCTGAGCTTGGTACGGGAGACTTGGATGGCACGAGTCGCCCAGGAGAGCGAAGCAGCCCTTGGTCCACGTCTTTAACTTGGGGTGTGTGCACAGCTTCCACTTTTGCACTCTCGGTATCAACGAGATGAGCTTTGTCAATCTACGAAAAAGATTAGTAGCCACACGGGATGCGTGGAATCTCACCTGGTAGCTTCTCAAGCAGCTAGAAACTTACGTATCATCCCATCCGCGATAGCTTTCCCTCATCTCTTCGATGTCACCCTGCACGCGCTTCTCTCCCGGTTCCATTTTATCCGGCCTGATGAGCACGAGGTTAAACTCCCGCCCGCCTCTGACGGGGTAGAACACGGTGTGTTTGTCGGGTCCCATCCACACGGTAGCTTGCTTCCGCGCACAAAGATCGTCGACCCGGGGATCATTCAGAGCTTTGAGGTAGTCAAACGGAAACGTAGCGCGATACGCCAGATCCCCCGTCTCAACAGGCGGCGAAGCCGTTCCAAGAAGCTGATCACGACAAATAGACCAGAGCCCTAGCGTCCATCATCAGCAAGCACAACGTCCCAGCCTGCACATCATACTCACCATCAGCACCAATAATCACATCCCCGCCGATATCATCCCCGTCCTCGAGATACACCCTCTTTTCGTCAATATCAATCCTCTCCACATCCATATCGAGACACAGATCCACGCCAATCTCCTTGCACGTCTGCCACAGGATGTAATGCAAATCGGCCCGGTGCACAACCATCCACAGATCGCCGTACCGGGCCTGCGCGTCCTTGGCCGAGAGCGTGTGCAGGTGCGCGCCGTCTGCGTACCTGCGGTACTCCATCCCGTCGATGACGACCCCGCATTGGAGGAGTTTGTCGAGGTAGCCTAGTTGTCTTGCGATTCTAGTCCCGTTGGGTGGGAGCTGAAGACCTGCGCCGATCTAGATAAATGTTAATTCAGATAAACGAGTGTATCACTGAATGCGGGAATGGGAATCGTGAATGGCACTTCGGTGAGCTTACCGGGACCAGTCTATTCGCCCTCTCGAGAACAACCACCTCAAACCCCTCTCTTCTACAGGCTATGGCGCAAGCGAGGCCGCCGAGACCTGCGCCGATGATGAGGACTCTCATGTTGGCATTTGGCCCTGGACGAGTAAGATTGCAGTTAGTTGGACCGGTGGCGATCACCTTGGATCATTTTGTTATCATTTAGATTCACAAACTGTCCTGTCCCATCACGTCCGTAGCCCACCCCCACTACTTAAAGGGTCTTCGGCCTGAACCTGCATCATGCAGGAAACCCCGCGCCGGATCTCTGCCGCGCCCCACTACCGAACCGCTGAGTGTCATTCGCGCCGAACTCTGAGGGGCAAGTCATGCAGCGAGAAACAGTTTCTACGGAGTAAGAATCTCTTGAAAACCACCAATTTTTCGAAGGCTGGCGAAGTATCACCGGTAGACATCGCTTTCGGAGAAATATGATTGGATAGGGCCTACCCTCGACGGCCTCGCGGGTTCTTACTTGCGGCCCGAGTCTGCTCACTCTGCCGCCCGACCTTGGATAACTGTTTCGCTGTTCCTTGAATAAGCAAGTTAAAAAGGCAACAAAATGCCCCCACGCTTTTATCCTCCTGCGGTTCAGAACTTCAATCGGAACGTTGGAGCTTGGTCTGGTAATCGGAATACCCGAATCTTCGCTTTCGGGGCGGGGTTTCCCGAAGATGCCCATTACGTCGAAATAAGAAAGTACGGTAAATCCCCTCCAGTAAGGGAATCAACACCTTCTGCCATCATCCCTTCGTCGGCACGAGCATCGGTGTCCTCGATTACTCATTCAACCTAGGTAAACCACCCCGGATTTCCCACTCTACTTTCTCGGTGACCTCTGGACTGGCATATCTCCGTGTCCGACATCTCCATGGGGACGTGGCAAAAACTCATCCGAACATGAATAGACTCCAAGATCCCCAACCCCGCGAGATCCGCCACGTCCTGCCCCAAAGGTGATGATTTTGGTGCCTTTTCCTAATGACTCCCAAAAGCACAAATTCCCCGAAATCGCCGAACCGGTCTTTAGTTTTTTCATCTCAATATTCCATGTGCTGCTCAGCGGCCAGCCGCACGCTGCCGTGCACGGGTACAGGGCATTCACGCCGCGCCGCGAACAATGTACAGATTGCCATAAAGGTCATGAGGCCCGTGATAGACCACCCGAGTCTGCCGACGGCATCTTCGGTCGCCAGGGGGGCGGGGGGCGGAAGAGAAAATAATCAGTTAACGACCGCCCAAGATGCATCAAAGACGAGCGATCCGCAAGGTTCCGAACTGAAGTAAAGTAGTTTGCTGGAATCGAATATAAAAGCACGGTGCCGCGGCGTCGTGGAGTTGCGATTGCTTTGTGGAGAAAGGCAGTCCTTTTCCGATGTTCCTCGAGCTTATCGGGAATGGTGTCAAGTGTGCAACGATGGAATTCCAGGCCCTCGTGAGATATGAACACCAAGGGAGTGTATTTTACGGCAATCTCGTACGAACTAGTGAGTTTGGCTACACTATTGAGCGACTGAATGGGAATCTAGATGTCGGACTAGAGAGAACAAACATCAGAGACACGGCGGTAAAAGTGAGTGTGAGAGAACTCGCGGCTAGCTAGTCTGTGGTTTTTTCCTTCCAAAATCGCAAAGACCAATGCTGATTCGACCCATTCCGCAATGTAGCTGCTTTGCCCGTTGGAAAGAACGCCCATCATCATGTGCCTGGGGTTAAACTATGCTCGATACGCGATAGAATCAAATGTGAGTGAAGATGCACATTTGAAGTCTTTTGCGAGGTTCTCTAAACCAATGGCCCACAGCTTCCCGTATGCGCCTTTCCCATCATCTTCACAAAGCCGCCCGACGCCCTCGCAGGCCCCCACAATCCCATCATCGTCCACCATGACGCGCAGGACAAGCTAGACTACGAGGGTGAACTCTGCGTCATAATTGGTCGGGACGTCAAGAACGCGACTCTCGACAACGCCCTGGACTATGTCCTCGGGTACGCCGCAGGGAACGACGTGACCGCCCGCAACTTCCAGATCCCCGGCGCCTCGGGCGGCCAGTACTCCTACTGCAAGTCCTTTGATGGTTTCGCTCCTATCGGGCCGGCCGTCTGGTCGCCGAGTGTCATTCCGGATCCGCATGCGTTGCGGTTCCGCACCAGGGTCAACGGGAAGGTCGTCCAGGAGACGGAGACTTCTGATATGATTTGGTCGGTGGCGCAGGTTATCGTGCATCTTTCGCGAGGGACGACGTTGAGGAAGGGGACTGTGATTATGATGGGCACGCCTGGGGGCGTTGGGTACTCGCGCGGTGTGTTTTTGAAACATGGGGATGTTGTTGCAGTTGAGATTGATGGTCTCGGGAGGATCCAGAACGAGATTGTGTTTGAGGGAGCCCATGTAGCGTAAGCGGAGCGCTTGTCGTCTAAGACCGGGAAGCCGGGATGATATTCTGTGGTCAAAGGAGGGCTTCTTGAACTTTTAATGTTTTCATTGAAGGCCGACTCCTTTCTTGAATTCAGCTAGCCATTCAGGGATGTCTGCAGCCGTTTGATTCCACGGGTCATCACTGGCAAATGTGAGTCAGTTTGCGTGATCTTACAGTGTCATGCAGGGCAGTACTTACTCATCGAAAATTACCCATCTTGCATGGTATCTAAGCTCATCATCTGAAGGGATATGCATGTTAGGGTTCTGAGGCGAAATGGTGGTCGCAACGAATCGTGATAGTTCCCCTTCCAAACGAGCATATCTGTTGGGGTCGTTCAAGAAGAACGGCATATCAGTGCCTCTTGAACGCTCAGATCGTCTAAGTGAGTGTCCAGATCCTTCAAAGATTGACTTGGCCGTTTGCAACCGCGTGTATAAGTCACTGGGCTTCCTTGACATAGATTCAAAACTGAAGTCTGTGGAGGTGTAATCTTGATCGTCAACGGGGTCGCAATAGCTTGAAGACATCTGTGTGTGAGCTGATCCGAATTGAATGGTTGCTCGTGCTTTGCCAGCCGACATTGGTATAAGCCTCTCTGCATCTCCCGTCAACTGGTTCAGCTCAGCTAGCCCTGTAAAGAAGCTGCTGAGTTGGCTATCAGACGTGTTAGCCATGGAATCTAGACATGGTACTAGTTCCCCATAGGAGTCTCCTGCAAAGGCCTCGACCCTCTGTCGTAGTGGTGCCAGCCACGATGTTGACTTCCACATGAGGCGGACTATAAATCCAGCAAATCTTCTCGAAGGGTTCGTCGATGCCGACTCTATTCTGTTCAGAATGACGCAAGCTTCCTGCTGAAGATCGTCATCAGAGGGCGTGAGACCTAGAACGAGGTGCTCTCTGAGATGCCTGCACAGCTGAGCCTCTAGTTCGCAGTCCTCAAAGATGTCCGCCTTGCCAATTATCTGGAGTTGAGTCGCGCGAAGTTTGGCTAGTTGATAGCATTGGTTCATGGGACGTAGGCGCGCCTTTTCAGATAATTCCGTATCATTCATCAACAAGTCTCGAAGCCAGGATGACGCATTCGGCGTGCCGCTGGGCCTGAAAAACTCGGAGGCGTACAAGATGGTACAAGCCTCGTAGATGACCTCATCGTCCGAGGGCAGTCGTTCGTGTTCCTCAAAGTAGTTACGAACAAAGTATTCTACTTCAAGCTTGAGGAGTTCGTATGCGCTCGGTGCGGAACCAGCCGGCGAAACACTTGCGCAGTAGGGCACCGGCGCACTTTGCTCAAACTGGATTACGCCTTGGGGAATGGTGAGTTTTGGAGGTTTAAAGACTGGGCAGGTTTCACTTACAAGGAGGCACCGCGTTATCGACTTTTGCAAGAATTTGGGGCTCAAAACCCCAATCCCCTTTCCAATTTGACATAGTGTTCCCGTCGTCTCGATAGTGATCCGCAATATGGTCCCCGCGCGTCGCCCATGAATCAAAGGTGGTTCCACAGAAGCCACATCTTGATCGAATCTTGTCCGTGGTAACCTTCCAAGTCTCTGCGGTTTTAGACATCTGACTTGTCTTGTGTACAAGTTTCAAATGTTGCCGGAGATGGTCTTTTCGGTAGTACGTACGCTCTTTGACCGGTCGTTCCGAGCAGGCTGCTTGGTGGTGGTCGTCAAGGTGCTGTTGGGTTGGGTTGGCCTCGTCGCAGAAGACGCAAATCACCCCTTTCTCAGGGTGTTGTGTGGTCGACCCGTGCGGAGAACACACCCATTCCTCAAGTGAGAGATGAAGGGACTTTTCGTGTCTTTGCCAGTCGTACTTTGTCTTGAAGGTTTCGGCGCAGAAGGTGCATTGGTAGGTATTGATCTGTCGAAGGCTCAACCTGTTCCCCCTTTGTTCTTTTAGCATTGCTCGTCTTCTCCGACGGTTCGAGTCCTTCCGGAGTGCCTCCATAGGGGTCGGAGATTTTCTAGAGCCATGGGAGTATGCCGAAGCATTGGAATGCGATCCCCCACTTGACTGAGATGTGCCAACGCTACTAATGCTCGAGGCGTTCTCCCAAGATCCTGCCGAAGACCGAGAGCGGCCCAAGAGTCCCGGACGTTTTGATGATGCAGCGACTGCGCGAGAAATATCGGCAGCTAAAGCAGGCTCGCTATCTGGTGGAGAGTGCTCCCATCGTTGCATCGGGTTCATTTGTTCGAATGCCATGGGCGTCGGTCGTCGAACGGGCACGTCTATGGGACTAGAACCAGCCTCGGTCCTGGCCGGTGTGGAGGCCCCGCCTGGGCGAATCTTCCTGCGCCGACGAGTATTGGCGAACCAGTTTATTAGTTGCTGCTTGCTCAACCCTGTTTGCTTCAGTAATCGCTCGGCCTGATCCGGGGTCGGATACGGATGTCGCTCGTGGTTTTCGAACCATGTTTTCAGGACTCTGATGTTTGCTGATGTGAAGCGACTGCCCACTTTCGTTCCGCCCTCCGTGGTATTCGGCGTGTCTTGCGGTGGCTCACGTTCGTCGAAGAGTGGGACACCACCAGACACGCTTGAAGATGCAGATATCCGTCCGTCCTCAGATGGTGTTCCATTCACTGCATCGTCGGGTTTTCTCGAGTCTTTGGGAAACATATCGGAAAACGCTTCGTCGGAAAGGAATAGGCTGAGGTCGAAATCATCGTCCACCTCATTGGACCGCGCATTTGCCAGAACATTGTCGGCCATTAACAATGACTTTTCCATCGCTTCTTCCCGTTGAATGACTTGAAATAGTCACAGCGAGCGCAGATATGAAGGTTCTCTAGTCTTGACAGTAATGCCTCAACGTGACGCAGTGAAGTTAGCCGATGTTGGTCGAGAGTGGGGGTTTGAAGCAACGGGGATGCATTGATCACAGTGAGGTGGGGAGGTTGTCAAAGAAGGGCGGTGATACGGGGCGCTAATCATGCAGGCAAGATCCCAACGCCATTCCGTCGGCGCCTTACTCATCTCGGACTTTGCTGACCAAATCCTGTTGTACTTACCCCAAACGTGATTGCCTTTGGTTCAAATGGAACAGATGATAATTTATGCAATGGGCCTAGATGGCTTGAGAAAAGGAATAAGACGACGATTAATGAGACAAAACGAGCAAAGCAATCAGCAGATGGCTGAAATTCCGTGCTTTCAACGGCAAAAGAGAACAAGTTGCATGTGCTGAAGTCTATTGTTATCTTTCTTCTTACGAATGGTAATCGACAATTTACACCACAAATCGCTCAACAACGAGAGCAATGAACAAACATTACACAAGGAATAGACAAAATATGAGCCAGGACTTACTGAGGCATCGGAAACAAGACAGAATAATACTGAGTAAAGCGAGAGACAGCCGTGACAGAGACAGAGGCAGGCTGTCTGCTTTATAAACCTCGCTTGCATTCGCATCACTCGTGGTTTCCTCATGGGTTTTCGGGCCTTATTCATGCTCATTCCCTACCCCAACTCAGATGCACTCCATATTTCCACCCCCTAGCGCGATTGAGGGTATTATAACCCTTGCTCACGATGGACCTCGTTAATGCCGCAGCCCTAACGATCCACAACTCTACAAACATCTAACACCTGCTATCAACCGCGTCGATGGTTTAGTGGTAAAATTCTCCGTTGCCATCAAGCAGCGTCGGGGAGCCGGGGGTTCGATTCCCCCTCGACGCAGCTTTTTGCCTCGTATTGTCACGAGTCAGTGTGCCAGTATAGGAGATGATTTTATGTCGAGTCTTTGCTTCATCGACATAATCCTAGCTAGACTGGCGATAGACGTTAGTCCTAGCTGACCATAGGAGTAGACTGAGGATTGCAAGCATTGACTGGACGATAGAGGTCTTCAAGAATGGATAGTATGCCATCTCGAACTCCAGTCGGCTTGGCCATTACATGCTGTTAGTGCAAGTAGCTCCTGTATATGCTCTGTGCATCCAACTAGTAATTAACGGCTATACGTTGACGCTTTCGATCGGCAAGGATCAGCTGCGTCGCAACACTTCTTCAATATGCATCGAATAAGCCGACTAACATTGCGTCATTATCAATATGCTCATTTAGAATGAGAATGCTCAATACAGTGATAAGCGAAATACTTGTAAAGTCAATCATGTACTCGTTATGTACCGTGACGCAACTATGCTTCTTGAATGTGAGAAGCCTCAAAGATGTATCTCACTCCAATTTGGTCAGGACTGTCTTCTTCCTTCCTGCTTCTAATTTGAAAACACTGCCCGACTGCGATATTTGGGTTAAAGGAGTATTAATATCTGTTGTAAAATAACTTTGACGCTGTTGAACCTTGACAATCGTCGAAGCCCAGGGGTTCATCTTATCTTGCCTGGGCAACCCATGTCATGGCGCTATGGCGATCCTATCACACCACTGTCACCTGCCGGTTTTGGTGACTTTGCCCCACCGGACGTGCATCCCGCCGGTTGCCGGACTCCCGCTCTTCCATTACACTCTCTTAAACCACGCCCGTCCCACCTTCTGAATGTCGCCGTCACCAACTCTTTGCTCATTTTGTCTCTGTGGTAAGGCATTGAAGGTGTGTGCTTGGCCATCAAGTAGTCAAGAAAATTTCCTGACGAAGCAATGGGCACAATCAACAACCAGACCGGTGGCGGTTGGGGCTTGCTCAAGGGACTCCTCCTCCTCGGGTCCCTTGCATCCTGGGCTTGCGGAGAGCAGTTCCACGTCCAGCGCGCGGCGCAATACCAAGAGCTGGATGTGCGGAGCCCCAGAATCGGGCATGTCTTGGCTCACATGGATCGCATCGCATACGACGCAGATGTCACGCCTAGTGCGACCGCGCCGCCAGCCTCTACGAGAACACCACTGCTTGACACCTTTCAAGTGGCCGAGCCTGTCCTGGAGCCTACAGGGCAGGCAGTTACGGTCACGTTGATGGAGCACCAATTTGCCAACAGCTACGGTACACCTTTCGTTGGAGACTATTCGCCCCCAGACTTCGATTTTGATCACGTCGTGCTCAACTTCACCGTCGAGGTTAGGGGCAGGCAATTCGATCGCTGGGGCTCCGTGTACTTGGGCGATGTCAACATCTTCGCGACCTCCACCGCCGAGCCCACGTCATACGGCATCACCTGGACCTGGTTGAAGGATTCCACGCCGTATCTGTCACTCTGGAAAGAGCCACAGACTCTCATATTCCAACTTGACAATGTCATTACAGACGTCTACACAGGCCTGCTCAACTCCACTCTCACGGCCACCTTCTTCAAGAGTCCCGTTCGGACCGGAGGACAAGCGCCAGCAGACCTCGTCCTGCCAGTTTCTGCCAACAAGAGTCCAGTCACTGCCAGCTTTTGGACGTACCCTGAAGAGAACGCCACTGCTTCTGTCCAATTTCCTCGTAACGTCAACCGGGCCGTCTTCTCCACGTCTGTCAAGGGACAAGGGAACGAGGAGTTTTGGTGGAGTAACGTCCCGCAGTCAGCCGTAGATGCTTTCGTGCCGGATGTGGGTAGCTATCCGGGATATTCGCCTTTCCGAGAGGTCCAGGTCCTTATCGACGGTCAATTGGCGGGCGTGCACTGGCCCTTTCCAGACATCTTCACAGGCGGTGTGGTGCCCCAACTCCATCGCCCGATTGTGGGTATCAACGCGTTCGACTTGCGAGATCACGAGATTGACATCACCCCGTGGCTGCCCCTTCTTTGTGACGGGAATAACCACACAATTGGCATCAAAGTTGTCGGGCTAGTGGATGACGGCAAGTCAAGCGCCAGCCTCACAAATACCACGGGTAGTAGTTGGTACCTTGTAGGCAAGGTCTTCCTATGGCTTGACGACGAAGGAAGCATCACGACGGGCGTCATTTCTAAGAAGACAAACCCTGAGCCCTCTATTGCATTCTCACAGACGCTCAAGCAAAACGCTACCGGCTTCAACTCGACCCTGGATTATTCCTTATCGGTGCAACGCGATTTCACGATCACCTCGTTCCTCACTACGCAGAAGGGTAACGGCACAGCAACTTGGAAGCAGAGCCTCTCATACTCCAACGTTGGAGGCCTGTACGCCAACGGTTACGGAGGCATCAATACGTTCTCGACCATTGGCGAGGAGACGTCAAAAGTTCCTGGTTGGGACTACAAGACAACCTTTTCGTACCCGCTCTACTGCAACACAACCACCTCGTATCTCCCGGCAGGAAATTTGACTCTATGGGCACAGCTGGATCAAGGTCTCAAGCTTCACGTCCAGGGAAACACCGTCTACCCGACCGGCCTTGAAGCCTTTGAGGGTGAGGGATCGAAGTGGGTCGGCAGCGTCATTGATACGGACAGGAATGGAACCGCGAACTATTCCAGATACGCAGACAATACCGTTACCTCGGGAGCCGGGCGTACACACCAGATTTTCCATCTCAGGGGACTGGATAGTGATGGGACTTACGAGACGCCGGGGACAGAGCTCTACTTCCGGGATGTGACTGCGTACAACAACTCTGTGATAGCCGACAAAGAAGTCATTGCAGGCAAAGTTGTGACGGGGCGCGCTTAGGAGTGATCTCGGGGTTCATTTGACATCATATTCGAATTCGAAACACGTGTAATAATTCAAATAATATTTCTGGAAATAGGCTTGAACAAATATTGTAACCAGTGCACGGCTTGAGTTATGTATACTCATTGGAAGGGGTCTGGAATCCCTAAGAGTTGCTCAAGCGTTGAAGGTATGGTGCACCGTCGTTATTGATGAGATTCTCAAAGTCAATTGTTCAAGCACATTAAATAGTCCCGCGTCATCCACGGGCCGCGCGGGAGAATCAGGTGCAACGGCTGTTATCACCCGGATTGCGGCACATTGTCTTGCAGACGAGACGAATTTGGCAGCAGCTAAAACCCGAAACTTATCTAGCAAATCAATATAAAACATTACGCCTATGGTAATGTTATCAAGAAGTGGGCAGACACACTTTGATGGGAGCCTCGGTTGTGCCTCTTTGAGGTAATCGTTTATCTCCGCATTTTTCCAGAGATGGAACTCAATCGCAATTACCAACCCATCTTCTGGTCTTAATACCCTCCAAAAACATGCCTTGCTAGACCTTTGAGGCTTTGCTTTCGACTCTATGGAAGGCTCGCAAGCACAACAGTTGAGCAACCTAAGGTAAGATCAAATGCAAGAAATCTCAACTGATGAAGGAAATCGGGTGTAGTATGAGACCTAGCGAGATGCAGCGTCAGCTCGGGATTTACGTGATACTTCTCACATCAACTTCAATCTTCATCATCTATCTTTCTTTTCATTGCCACAAGTCACCTAAAAAAAAAAAACTTCTCAGAACTTACAAGATGTCTTACACTAAGGCCAATCACAACGCCAGCTACCCGGCCATATCTGCCTCTAATCCCGCCAACTCCGCTGCGGGTAAAGTCGTCCTCATCACCGGAGCTGGATCAGGCATCGGACAGGCAGCGGCCACCTCCTTTGCCCCCGCCGGTGCCAAGGCCCTGATTCTCATCGGCCGCCGCACGGAACCCCTGACGAAGACAGCAGCAATCATCTCTCAAAAGGGCCCTGACGTGCAAGTTCGCCTTCACGGAGCCGACATCAACGATGTCAAGACCTTGAAGTCTGTCATGGCTGAGACTGTGTCTACCTTTGGACAAATTGGCATCGCCATTCACGCCGCTGGCGTGCTCCTGGCTCTCGGCCCAATCTCGACAATGCCTGTCGAAGAACTTTGGAAAGCGCTGGAAGTCAAAATCAAGGGTACTTTGAACGTGGCGCAGTCTCTATTAGCAATTGGTACCTCGGAGAAGAGTGCCGGTTCGAAACCTGTTCTGGTCAGCCTCAACACCGCAGGCATGCTTATGCCTCCTATCCCTGGAATAGGCGGTTACATCGTCAGTAAGGCGGTTCTGCCGAAGTTGGTGGAGTATCTGGCTGCCGAAAATCCCGACAAACTAAGAATTGTGACTATTCACCCCAGTCTCATCCGAACGCCGATGGCGGTGGAACTTGAGGAGGCGGCATTGAAGTTCCCTTACGATGATGGTATGCTCTCTTCTATACTCTCACCTCTTCCATGATACCTCAACAGTAGAGATGTTGTAGCCTATCTTTTAATTGTTGACTCGATTTAGTCTCTCTCCCTATAGACTACCTCGTCTGGGTCACCAGCCCCGAGGCATCTTTCCTGAATGGCAAGTTTGTGTTTGTGAACTAGGATGTGGAGGAGCTTAGATCAACTTCGCCTTTGCTACTATCGACCCATCCAGCTTCAGGGTTCAGCCAGCGTCACCGACGGACGTGGGCCTTTACAGACGTCTTATGCACTTGAAGAAAAAAGATCCGGGCCTGAAGGGTTTTATCGCTATTGGTGGCTGGACATTCAACGATCCAGGCCCCACGGCCAGGACCTTTTCTAATTTGGCCGCATCTGTCACGAAACAAAAGGCTTTCATCGAGTCTCTCATGTCGTTATTTCTACCTATGGATTTGACGGCGTTGATCTGGGCTGGGAGTATGCTGTAGCCGAAGATCGATCAGGAAGGGGCGTTGACTACCCATGTGAATTTCCCCAAGTACATGAGCCGACTAAAGGCGTCCTTGGATTCAGGTCAAAAGGGGATTTCTATTACACTCCCGGCATCTTTCTGGTATCTTCAGCATTTTGATATCATAGCACTGGCTAAAACAGCGTACTGGTTCAACATTATATCCTACGACCTACACGGAACTTGGGACAAGAACAACACCTGGGTCGGTGCCTGTCTGAATGCGCGTAGCAACCTTACCGAAGTCGATCTAGCCCTCGATCTTCTTTGGCGCAACAATATCAACCCCAGTCAGGTCGTCATGGGCCTTGGATTCTATGGGCGAATCTTCACTACCACTAGCCCGTCTTGCCTCGAACCAGGTTGCACATACGAATCCGGGGCATAAAAGGGCAAATGCAGCCGAGAAGTGGGTGTTTTGCTCAACTCCGAGATCGACGACCTTGTCAATCAACACAACATAAAGACAAAACTGTACAAAAAAGAGGTTGTGAAAGTAGCTGCTTGGGGCAGTCCGGCCCAGTGTGTGGCCTGCGGTGACGAAGAGACCTTCCAACTCAAGTCCGAGTACGCTCAGAGTATGTGCCTAGGCGGCTTGATGGCTTGGGCAATCAGTCACGATACGAAAGATGTCGTACAAAAACGGAACCGTAATTGCCGGCCAGCAATTACGCCTTATTTACCACAAAAGGTTAAGTACAATAAAGCGCTGGAAAAGGTGGCGAACCGCAAGATCCCCTACTGCTCGTGAACGTGGGTATGAAAGATGACCTGATCGGGTTCGTCGACATTCCCAACGAACAATGCAGGTTGGCCAACTGCAACGTTGGCTGTGCTCCTGGATGGGGGATTGTACCGCGCAGCGACCCAGGGGCGCGAGGCAAAGAGTACATGTTCGATCAGAGGGGCTGCGATGGTACGGCCTCCCATGCTTTCTGCTGTCCAGCGACTTAGAAGCAGCCAAAGTGCGGTTGGTACACGCACAACAACGGGAAATGCACTGGCAGCTGCCCTGATAACATGGTCCTCATTGATTCGAAAAAGAGGTATTGCAACAATGGGCAGTTCCAAGCAGCTTGCTGTACAAAAGATACTCAACGCATCAAGCTGTATACGCTGTATGAACTAGGCGCGTTTTCGAAATGCGACGATCAAGCAAGCTGTCCTGCTCAGAGCGGCGACCAGTCATTGAAGACTTTATTGGCTTCATCGTCTATTGGTATACACAAGCAATAAGAAGATGACCTTCTCCGATTGCGAGTGGTATTCCAACACGGGCTCTGGTCCTGCTAGCAGCCGCGAGGACTTTTGCGCAGCAAATTGCCCAAACGATCGCGTCCGCGTGGCCATGGACCTGAGAGCCCCGGGGTGCTCTGGTGGCGGCAAGGCAAGATGCTGTATCCCTAGCTACTACGAAGCCGTTGAAGTAGAAATCGAAAAGCCGGGCGTATGGAGGGACTCTTTGAAGGTGAGGTATTGAGTTGGAATTAAAACTGGGTAAATAATTGAAGAAAAAGACTAGGAGTCATGAATTAATATTTGAGTATAGACACAAATATAGCATTTATTAGCTAGACTTACTTAACTGTATTTCAGAACTATCATGGTATTACTAGGAACATTCCAAAGCCTTTGCCGCTAACACATTTCACAGAGTTATTATCTATTCGCGATTCAACCCTTATACTTACTTTGTACTCACCCACATCGCCCGTCCTTACGGCGGTAGGTGATCCGGCCGCACTTGAACGCCGTAGTAGCTCTTGACTTCAGAGGGTTGTAACCAATATGCCGTCAATAGAACGAAGATACAGACTCCCGAAGTAAAATTTCGTGATGTTTCCTCAGAATAGGGCAACCTCGACATTCCGCCTTCTTGCTTGCTCATCAATATCATACGCATCATCTCCTGAGTCCCAAGCTTCATCTAGCATCTCGGTAATGTTACGCGCGTTCGCTGTCTTGCCGTATGGTTGATATTTCTCTGTTACTCGCCGGAGTGATTCCATCCAGGTGGGCTGGCGAAGCAAGATAGCCACTTCAAGCCTCGCAGCCACATAGGGATAGAGCAGTGCATTAGTCGTGAGAAGCTGTGAATATTCAGGCCGGCTGGTCGCATCGCAGAGCGCGTCCATGGACGCGACTAAGCGGCCTAATAGTACCTCGGCAGAAGGAGTGGCAGGGCATGATGTTGATGCAGCTGCCGTAATGCCTGTGTTTGCACGGATGCGTAGTCGTCGACCAGTCAGAATACCTGCTAGACGGTACGCCTCCCACAGATGGATCTGCGGTATTTCCCCCGTTTCTCCAAACCATTGCAAGAAATATGTGTCAGAATCTTCGTCCTGAATATTCGCAAAAATATCGAGCAAGGATCTTGGGAGGCTTGAAACAGATTGAATGCCGCCCCTTTCCATACCTATTGATCCTTGTGCAACCCGCAATCTTTTCCAGATTCCCAACGACAAAGTTGAGCGACCGCGAACAAAGGTCGGCATGTCCATGAGACCCATTAGCTCTAAGGCAAACCGCGCTTCAGGTTCGGATAGAACAGGTGAGTTGTGGAGGTCTTTGTTGAGACCGTAGACTGTTGTCATGAGCTCGAGGTGGATTGACCAAGGAGCACTCTGAAATAGCTGTGTTCATCAAGGATTAGTATTTCAGTCTGATAGACATAAGCTTTTCCAAGACATCAAGCGTCGGATATAAAGCTCAGGAGACGAGACATAAAAATTTCATGCATCACGGTAAGGCACTGTAGTGTAATATTGACGGCTTGCAAGATAACTCACATTCAGGGTGCAGATGAAAAGCCCAGCGTACATTGCGCCAAGATCAACACTCCCATTGAATGATTCCAATTGGTTGCGGAAGAGCGAAAGGCCTCGAAGGTAGTACTCTTCGAAAAGTTGTGAAGGATCATCTGGGTTTGAGATGTAGAGGTGAGTGGCCAGCAAAATAGCACAGAGTGCTTCAGATCTCTCTGCTAGCTGTCGAAGCTTCGATCTGAATAAGCCATCCCGTCGACTTGAATGAAGCATAAAGACAGTAGTCTCATTGACTAAAGTAGGATACTGTCAGTGGCTAGCACAGCGTAGGGTATGAAGTTCAGATTTGAAGCATGGAGTAAGGTATTCAATTTTGGCATGCCACCAGACCCGTAAGAGATTTTCACAGGTATGATAAGTCGCGCCTATGATCATTTCACTTACATTCTTCCAAAAGACGCCTGTCTTGCTCTGTACGGCCCGGCCAGATTGTCTCGGGTGGCGCCGCGCCGAAACCAGCCGCGGCTGTGAGTGCTGTTGATGGAACTGCAACAGCATTTGGATTGAGCTGTTTCAGAGTCCTAGACGAGCCTTCTCCTGCAAGGCTGCCAATTTCTCTTGTTTTTTCATCGAGCTTAGATTTCTTCTTGCGCTTGGCGGGCGGAGGCGCTTCGATTTCGACAGGTACGAGCGCTCCAGCAAAGCGCCCCCTCGAGGCAATACCCGAACCCCATCGAAGGACAGTCTGGTATCCTTCGCATTCGACACCTTGACCTATACACTGTAAACATTCGGGCCGGCCCTCGTCGCATTTGCGGTGGCGGCGTTTGCAGTTCAAACAGCCGCTCCGCGTTCTCGACATGGCCGGTGCAGTTGAGCTGCCATCGATGTTTCTCGATTCTGAGCTGCTTCGACGTGTACTCTCGGCTAACCGGAAGGCTCAGCTAACTCAACGCAGTTCGCGGTCGTGGAATGACTTTAGTGCATGGATGAATGACGATACTCCTGTTTGATACTCTTCCCGCCTGGGGCTCCGGTATTTGGAGAGATAAAAATACTTCCACTACCGAAACTTAACATACGTTGGCTGGTAGTCAACCCACTCCAGTGGCTATGCTGACTCAGTGAGGCCTGTTCATCCCGTCGGCTGTGGCACGGTCGTCCGCCGAATTCGGGCATTATTGACGCCCGATTAGCGCTCACCGCAGCAGCCCTAAATGCAAGCCTGGCCACCAGGGATCTTTCGGGAGTTGTTCCGGTTCTGAAAAGGGGGCTGGAAGGTCACACCACGCCTTGTCAACGAAGTCTAACCCTCTGAGACTTACGGAAGAGCTCATGGTGAATGTTGAAATAATCTTTGCATATACTTGTTTGATCGTGCTAGGATTGCACAAAATGCTTTGCAACCGCTCATTACCCGTGATCCCTTGCCACAGTATTGCGACTGTACACCCCCAGATCCTGTAACCAAGTCATTCCAATGACTCTCTCATGCTTTTGGCGTCAACATCAGACGCCAGGATGTCGATGATGTCTTTTTCATTTTTTTCAGCAAAGTAACCTCGCACAGCTTTGGGGGGAGGTGAATGAGAGTCATTGGTGTGAAAGGAAAGTTTGTGAGGTAGATTCTGAAATAGCCCGAGAAAGTCGAAGGAACAGCCAGTCAACAAACTTGCTAACCCCCCAAGCTACGTTACCCAGTCGGGAAAAAGTCTTGGATACAACAAGACTGAGCAACGATGCACATCAAATTTTTTTTCAATCAAGATGTTGTCAGCTGTTGAAGAGCTGCATTACCTCCTCTCATTCATTGGGTTGCTGCTATCTCAATTTTTAATTATTCAGGCATTGTCTCTTGGAAGAGAATCCGCGGTGAGATGATCGCACTGGCTAGACGGCATTTTTCATGTTTTGCATTCTTTTTGTCTATTCCATTTTATATGCAACCGTAGTCAAATAAGCAGCTTCTGTATCTGTCTATCCAGTTGTTTCCGATGTGCCTCCCCTACAGGGCTCGGCACGTCTGCCAAAATATTCTTGATCCTTTCCATCAAAAACCCCCTGGGATTACACTCGCTGTGATCGACGCCGCCCTTATCCGACGGCCGCCCAATATCGTGGATCACCAGGTTCATCAGTGTCGAGTATAGCGTCAATACGCTCTCGTCGATGTCGTCGGCCTCTGGAATCGGCCATAGACTTGCCCTCATGAGACAAAAGGTCATGCTGCCAAGTATCATGCTCTCGCACCGGTGTGGCCCCATGTATGACGCATGTCTGCACCACCGAGGCCCTTCATCTACGCTGACAAGCTTCTCTGCCAGAGTGCTGAAGACGTCCATGATGGACTGGATTGTCTGCGTCCTGATGGCAGCGATTCGTTCTATGGAATAGGTGTCAGTGAAGAGGTTCTCATTAAAACTTGAGATCTAAAGAGAAAAAAGGCAAGTAGGATTGCTACAGTGAACGGGGAAAGAGACTCACCGATGACGTCCGGCGGCATACTCAAATCGCCAAGCCCGCTCTCGTCACCGAACAAATTACCACTACTCTCCATTACCATTCGCCGTGCTGTCGACTCAAAGAGCTGTTTATGGCCCAACTCCCACGAAATCCACAGTAATTTGGGCATCAAAAGCTCTCCCTCGGGTCCGGCGATGCTACTACTAGTCGTTTCTGGTGACTCTGCGATGCCCGAAACCCACGTCTGTAGCCAAGGCGACAATACGGGAGTTGCATCATAGTAGTGCGTCAGTACCGTCAACTCGTAAAGCTTAGCAATCGACAAGGCTCGCGGTATTCTCTGGAACTGGCTGTGAGCGATGCTCGCAAGGAGGTCAAAAGAATCGGGCCTGTCGTCGCGAAGGTGGACGATCCAATCTTTTGCCGGCGATGTCGTCGTTCCGTTGATTCCGGATGATGAAAGGCTGATGAGATCGGAGCTCGGTGCTGTCGGTTTAGACTCGGCAAAGCTGCCGTGTAGCATGCGGTCAAAGACGGGGGAGATGCGTGCCATCGTCCGGGAACAGACGCGGAAGCTCCGGGCAGGGGTGTTGTCGACTGCCGTTCCGACGACGAAGACAACGTCCCCCCTTTGATCCATTTCTGTGAGAGCGGGAACGCTGGGTTCCTGAATGGGAGACATGGTTTTGCGGACTGAGTTGTTGGGGGTGGAAAGAGAGAAATAATGAAAGAGTGGCTTCTCTGCCCGTTGGCGAGTCATACTCTAATGGTACTAGACCGCTGGAAACAAACACCTCGTTCGACGTTATATCTGTTGAGGCTCTGGAGAAAACATGGCCTGGCTACTGGACCATTTCTCGTATCTTCTCAGCCTTATTGCTATATAAAGCGCTCCGGTCCGTATGCATTGAACAGAAATTGATCTTGCCCCGTGGCGCAGGGCTCTTTTCAGAGCAATTGCGCCACTCTTGGCCAGGAGCTCAAGGCTAGAGGGGGCTCATCCGTTCTTTATTCTAGTGGACCCGATCGGACGGGTCAGTCAATCGGAGATGTCACCGGGTGGTTCAAGGGGCTACTCGGAGGGCGCGGGCGCCGAGCTTTCGGCAGCGTCACGGTGAATACCAAGAACCGATCGCTTCTGCCCTGGAACCCGATTGAAACAAGCGGATTTTGTCCATTACTCAGACTCGCTGTTTAATACCATTGGTTTCCGTCCCCCCCCCCCCCCCAACCAGCATCTTCACGTC